AGCCATATTTGACCCCGCCAGCCATAAGCGCGAAAGACAGTAACAATTGAAATGGAGGAACGGACAGTGACCGGGCTATTTGAAATTACATTATTTAGTAAAATTTTCAATATGGCGGAACATGGTTATGTACTTAATGAAATGTATTTGACATAAAAATGAATTGCCCAGGTAATGTAGAAGTCAGTAATTCTTAAAGCACATGTAAATGTGAGGAGTGAAGTAAATGAATGATAGGAAGTAAATTAAAAAAGAAATAATTACATAAATAAATATTATTTGTAAATATGGTACATAACAAAAAAAATAACAATGTGCATTGAAAAAAATCCTGTTATGGTGAAACAAGGAAACAATCATGGTCAACATAATTTGTAATTATCTCTTATACTATTATCACTGGCTGCTAAACAAAAACAAAAATATATAATAAATTTTGTCACAAAATACAACATACGCCTCTATGCATGACAAGTCAGTATAAATTTATGATATACGAAAACAACAATACACAATAGAGATATTTCTAAAATTGAATATAAGACATAAATTAAATTAAAATTCAATTCTTGTATTAAAATCAATATCATGGAAAGGTAATTAATTTATTATACATCTGGTAGTGTTAGAAGACTTAATTTAAAATAATAATAATAATATAATATAAAAGAAATTCTCCATAGATTCGGTGCCCTAGCTGGGTTCAGTCCTTTATATCCAACTTACCAGCTTTAGGGGGGTTTGAAAAAGTGCAATAGAAATGGCACAAATTATTATAGTACTAGTTTATTATTGATGTAGATACGTGTATAGAACTAAATTAAAAATACAAAAACATTTTTAAAAATTTAAACGATTCCTAAAACTAATCTCAAAAATAGTCATGATTGCATTGTGAAATGTTCAGAAAGTAATATAAATTTCCTTAGTAAACAAATCCCAAACTGTTTCAATGAAGACTTATGTATTAGTACGCAAGGCAAACATTTGTAAGAAAAAATAGTAAGAATTATAATTAACAGCCATAAAACATGAGACAGTTATCCTTGCAAAATGATATTTTTCATTTATATAAAACACCAAAAAACCATCTTCAAAATTTCTGTACATATTCTTGTGTAGGAAAGTTGAAGACCCTCACCAAGTTGATTCAAGTATGTTTTCTGATTTATTTACATTGCTACGACAAATTTCTTCTATTCTTTTGATTTTAATGAAATATTGGAGTCCTGCAGTTTGGACGTATTCAATTAGTGATAAAATGCACAAGAAAAAACTCCATCCCCCCAGAATCTTTGTTAGAAGAAGAGAGGGGTTATTATGTCATACAGGAAGAATACATGTTTGTGTTATATACATGGCATAATTCTGTGTTAGAAATATTGTTATCATGAAAAGCGTTTTAATGAAAGTAAATTACCTGGACTCTTCAAAAACTCGTATTTATGCTGTACTGTTTATATCATTTACATCCATATGTGAGTTACAAACTCACATATTTCTTCATCTCATTTAAATATAACCTTATATAAATGATTTTAAAATTTGTTTTTAGGGGGGATTACTTTGGACCAGTAATCGTAAAATTCACGCATGAAAACTACTACTACTATTATAGCTGTGCACTGTTCAAATCCAAATTTATTGCACAGCCAGTTACCAAGAGTTACCAAAATGATGCGTATGATATTCATGTCATTTCAGTATATTTTTCCCTCATATATTGCAACATAGAGCAATGCCACACATTTTCTTAGAAACATAGCCACATTGGGAAGAGTTGAGCTTTGCAATAACCCCTCCACAGGGTTCTGTTTCTCTCCTCTCCAGCCGGAGGAGAAGAATCTGCAAACACCAAACGAGTTGTTATGACTTAAAAAGGGAATCGTGCATTCACTAAAAATGTGAAAAAAAAAATGTTTTGTACTCACCCAGGAAATGCCAGGACATTGGATGAACATGTGACCGTTGACATTCAGAGAAGGTGGAGCGGCCCTCAAATCAGAGACATTGGGTCTTTGATTCTGAATACAAATTGTAATTTGGAAAAATGTCTTATTCTTTAATATAGGCTAAAAAATAACTTAAACCTGTCTGGTGGTATTGCCTTCTAAAAATGTTTCTGAGTGCTTCTTGAATTGATTGAATTAATGGCTTATTTTACGCTGGGTTTCTTCTTTTGCAATCAGGTATGCACATCCTCAAAATTGAATATTGATTAGGTACTTCATTTCCACCCGCTCTTCCTTGCTGCAGTCAACATTGTAGGCATGAACATGTTCCATTTGTTTTTGCCCCAAAACCCCCCCCCCCGCGGGCCAATTTTACCCCCCCTTTCTGTGTATCAGTGTTTGCCAATGGGCAAACAGCCAAATGTTGGGTTCTCCAATTGCAATCAACCAATTCATACACCTATATTATATAATAATAATGTTTGTATTACATAATGACTAAAATAAAGAAACAAAATAAGTATATATTTAAGGTTGTTTGGTATAAAAATGACTATAAATAATAAATTGTTTGTTAACAATTGGTTAAAACTAGTAAGGTTATTGCTTAGCAAAATAGATGCTTTGTTTATAAAATAGCACAGGGGTTATTTGTAAATATAAAACAAAATATCCGTTATCGAATTAATGTTAAACCATTCGTAGAATCATTGCCATATATTTCATTTTCACTTTACCGTTCAGGTTTACTTGGAAAAGAAAACAACCTTGTTCTTTTCCGCATTTCCCCTTTTGCTATTGTGGCAATTGGAACCCAACGCCTATATTTCGCATTTTCTATACTAAATTGCCAAACAACCAAAAAATCAATCACTTCGCAAACCAAGTCAAGAGAATGCGAAACCAGGAGAAACCGTTTGTTACTGTCGTCGTTTTAGCGAACAACATCTACAAATCAAACGTTCTTGTTTTTTTAAAAATTAGTTCGCAAAAAGCCCCTGTACAGCGCTACTTGCCAGGTGGCAGACAATGGGGACTTACCTCCCCTTCTCACCGTCTCCCCCACCAATCTTTCGACGCTTATTGGCTGGCGGGGGTCAAATATGGCTGCCTCTTTCTCATTCGCTGTTTCTGTTGAGGTGGGAGATTCGAATTTCTCCCCTCCACGAAAAGAAGGGCTTTCCTTTTAACATTGACTGCCGTCTCTGATATATACTCTCTGACGAGCAGTATCGTAGTAGTTGGTTGTACGGCTCTTTGCTGTGCTGAAGCTCTGTGGTTCAAATCCTAGTCAACAGCCTTTTTTTTTTCTCTCTTCCGGAAATTTGTACATTATTGCATGTATTTGGTAAATGTTTTTGAAATCAATTGTATACGTGAAATCCTGTATATCGTTTTGGTTTTCAATGTCTGTCTCTCTCTCTCTCTCTCTCTCTCTCTATATATATATATATATATATATATATATATATATATATATATATATATATATATCCGTCCTTTCGTTAATTTAGAATTAGATTAATTTAGATTTCGTTTTATCAGAAGAATAAAGTGTAAAAGTAGTAGTAAAATATTTGTTTTAATTTGCTGTGTCTATATCGACTCAACGTGTCTCCACACTCCGTAGGGAGCGTTGAGCGCACTGGAGTAATCCTCCGTTAATAAGCGCACTCTAGGGACCGCTCTCTTATCAAGTCACGTCAGCCATAGTCAATCGCCGACAGGTAGCGTCTTCGCGTTCGCACGCACCACCCGTCAGCCAGAATTGGGAAGGAATAAGGATAGGGTAAGGTGTAGGACGCTTCACAGGTGTTGGACTAGCCTCTGTGAAGGAGGCACACATAAGGTTCTACGGAGAAGTCTATGGGAATCGAACCCGGAACCTCAGTGGTGAAAGGCAAGCCACTTCGGCACTGAGCCACGAGAGCTGTATTTCGTAGCCGTTACAAATAAAAGATCAAATTACAGTTTTTGTATTGTTTGTATATTTTGTAGTAAGATAAACAAAGTAACTGTGCCAATGGAAGGTGTTTTTCTTCAATTAAATGTTTTTAAAATTAGTCAGATCCGGATTTTCCGAAAGGTTAACTAAACTTTAGCCAGAATTCCCTACGCCTCAAGATCAAGAAGGGCACACATTCAAATTGTAGCAAAAATAAAATTGCACTACTCTAAAAACAGAACACTAAAACAAAGAACCGAATATGAGAAATTCTACGCATATGACTAATAGAATGGCATGAGAATATGAATAGAGAGACATGAATTGGTTAAGATCATAGCCTTCGGTCTGTTCGTTTGTATATACTAGATTTTCACCAAGGTATTATTCATGCGTTCAGTGATTGCTATGGCAAATATTGATGTGCGTTAAGCTACTCGGCTCTGGTTTGTTCTTTCATAAATAAAGTGCAGATTGATAAAGATTGGAATAGAACAGGTCTATTGATATCCTGGCTTTCGGTTATATTCGTGTTACGTCGATAATATGAAACGCGTGTTAATGTTATTAGTAGGGAAAGAATTTTAAGGTGCAAAATATTGTAAAAGGGGCGATCACTTGCCCGCGTGGAAACCTCAGACTCCCTTCTCCGTTTCCTTTCAAACCCACAAGCGCTACCAGTGCTCTTTTAGTATTGACGGTGACCACAATGGCGAAGGTTCTCCAGGACGCAGAGAAGTGGATTTCTGCACATCTATTTAAATGTCCTGATTTGCCTGTCTGGGCAGCACTTGAAATCCAGCAGGAAAGGGTCAAATTGTTGCAGCAACACTGTTGAAATTTAAATTTGACTTAGTTGCAGATTGACCATTGTTGCTGGGATACAAATTACTGGCGGTTTACATAAAATATATTTTAATATTGTTGACATCTGATTAAAAGATATTTAAAAAGCTGTTCAATAAGATAAAAAAATCCTTTTTTAAAAAAGTTTGTTGCGTCTGAATTGACTCAATCTCCAAGCCCCGGGGGGCGTTGAGCGCTTGGGAGTAATCCTCTATTATTTAGTTTCGCTATTTATAGGAGTAATCCTCCATTAACATTATCTGTCATTGAATGTGACGTCTTGTCGCAGTCAGTAGTCAAGAGGACCGCCAGGTAGCATCTCAACATACACGCCCTTTACTACGCGCTCCTGCGTCACTACCCAGCGGCCGGAATTGGGAAGCAATAGAGGTAGGGTACAGGACTCTTCGCTGGGATTGGACTAGCCCCTGTGAAGTATGCAAACTCGTTTTGTGGTAACATTTTTCACATGAGGTTCTATGGTGATTCTACGGGAATCGTACCCGGAACGTAAGTGATGGAATCTCATTTTTCTTCCCAATTGCTTAAACACGCATAAATCAATGGAGAAAAGGGGAAAAGAGGTAAAATGTGGCGAAATGCTGTAATCTCACGAAAAAGTGTAAAAATGTGGAGCAAATTGTGTACACTTTACTTCACTTCATTTCGTCCCCACGAAAACATATATTATCAGTATGATATGATCAGTATGAAAACAGCTATAGTTGTGAAAATGTACGGCGCCTTCAAATCCTTTCCCTAGTTATTAGAAAATATTCTTATTTTAGGATTGCGTACACGATCATTTGATTCTAGGGTTTTGATTTCAATAGGTTCAATACTTAAGTGTAGTGTTTATAGACTATTGAAGCCCAGCCCAGCGGCACATGCTTTTCAAAGCACGAACTGTACTAGTTATGAATGATGAAAAACACCTGTACGAATTAAAATTACAAACGACAATGAAGCTATTTCAGGCTAAAATATTGCCAACCATTTGTTACGGGATAGAAATAAAGTGGGAGCACCTGACGGAGAGAAACCTGACCATCATGGAAAAGGTAAAAGCTTTGTACCGGAAAAAGGAGCTGGGAGTGTCCAAATCCACAAAATCAAGACTAGTATACGTTCTGGCAAGTGAATCGTTCCTCATAGGGGACATAAGAAAGAAATTCCTTCTTCCAAGTACTATGGCCTCGGAAAAATTACTAGCGAAACTAATCAAAGAGAGGCAAGAGATAGGGTCGGAATTCCATACAACAGGAGCCATAATTGATCGCACTTGGACGGATGTAAACATTCAAAAGGCACGTGTCATCAGAAGTGTCTCAGATCACGGCTTCCACATATACTTAGCAAAAGCACGAACTCTCACTAGCTCGATGAGCAATGCAGATGCAAGCTTTGTGATATGCAATGTCCCCGTAGAGCAGAGTTGGAACAGAATAAAATCAATCTCAGATTATGCAACTCTCAAATGATCGGCAAAGTGAAGGGATGAAATAATAATGAGAACTGAAAATAGGTGTAGAAAGTAAAATAATATAAAAAGTGTGAAATCAATGAAATTCTAATCGATGCACGTTAGTGCGCTGTTCTGCTAGCCCACAACACACGAAAACAATTATATGTACTGCATCAAAGTTTCAGTCTTTAAGAAACAAGCTCACAGACTTAGAAATATTACTTGAATAAGACCTTCTATTATCCTCGCATGTTTTCTTGAGCCCTCATTTCGCTAGATGCGAGGGGAGTGGGGGGGTTGATTATTTTATTGACAGGACAATTAAATGAAAAACTAATGACAGGACAATTAAATGAAATCTGTAGCTTGTTTTCGATGCAGACTAATTCCCATTAGAAGGGAACAAATATTTTTGGTTATCAGAGTTTTACAAAAAAAACTTATGGTTATCATTTAATCTGAATTCAACTAATTTTAGGTAATGAATGGGGGGAGTTATGCTGGGGATCAAGGAAACGTACGCGTATAATACACCTAACAAAATTATGCTTTAGTGAACATTAGTTAACGCAACAACTAGATAGCACACACATTCCAGGTTTCAGCCTAGCTAATGGCTCATTTAGGGAAATAGGCAAATCACATCATGCTTATAGTAGTACTTGCATCGTTGTTAAAAATAATATTAACAATAAATGTGTCAATCACAGATGAACTCTCTCCTAAAAGATAGTGTGACGTCACTATGGTGACATTTAAGCTCCCGACAGAGAGTAGGGCAGGGGTCCAGTGCAACGAGTTCAGTTTTCTTAGGCTGGGAAGATTCCTTATTTCAGCGACGTGGTAGGGGAGCTGATGATTTATGGTAGGTCCGCCATTACTGCACCTCATTGTAGAGCGCTCTATAGCGACTTTTGCAAACTAATTAAAAAAATAGAAAGAGTGCCGTCCAAAAGTCCTGCTATCTGACGATAGCTCTGAGCAAAACCTCGAAACCCCAACGGCTCCGAATTTTGAATTCGGTGGTTTTGAAGATTCCAGATTTTGAAGGAAAATGTCGTTCTTCACAATTGCCATATTAATGGAATGGTAGACACGGAAAATACAATACTTGCAAAGTAAGTGATATTAATATTTTGCACGTTTGTTAAGAATGGTTTCATACGATTACGATAATTATTTACATTGTATTAACTACTGTAGCATTTTCCCCGCAGTTTTTGTATAGTCCTATTATTTTAGTTTGCAATAACATTAAATTGAATATTTGTGATACTTGGCAATTTATATATTACTAATTTTATTATAGGTTTATGAAATGGCTGATGGGAATTAGGGCCTAATACTGGCGACTTGTCCAGGACATGAACAGGATGAGGTACGAGTGCATAGAGCACATCTTGCCAGAAATGTTGACTGCAAAAAACAGCTGTGTGAAATACAGTCCTCAGTAAAATTTCCTGACAACTCCCAGAGGTGCATAATGGAGAATCCAGAGCATTCAGAGAAAGCTTGCCAGCAAGTGCAAGTGACATGCATTGAGCATTTATGATATGTAATAATAAGAAAGCTCTAAAATTTGTTCAGCTCAATCATTTGTCTCTTTGATTTGAAGGCCTGCCTTACATGTTTAGCTACTGTTCATTCAGGCTTCCTTGCATGATTTGGTGAGTGCAGAAACCTTGTTTTATGAAGGCGAGACAGCACTACACATCTTGAATTTCAATAATGCCTCTTTTTATATTAAAGGCAGCTCCCTATGTCCTGGAAAAGAGTGCAGGACATCCTGGAGATGGCATTTATTTAAATATGTGATACGAAGGAATGTTATACTGTCAATTTTGGTTGTCTTTTAGTACTGCTCTATGGTAATTTTGGATTTCATGTGATATGCCATAGTATGTAGTGTTGCTCATGGTCCATTCAGATCCGAATATGTCTGTTCAAAAAGTAGATGATTTTTTTGACAGATTTTAAAACTACTTAGTATTACTGTGAAATGTATTCTTTCACCAAACAAACAGGCTGGGATGTGAGCTATTGTGAGTGTGTCAAATGTGAATTCAGTGCATATAGTTGGAGGTTAGGGATAGTTTTTTCAAGAGTGATTTACATTGTTCCAAGCCTATTATTACAAAGAATGTTATAAGAATTGATACAAATTTTGGGTAAAAGTATGGAATACATATGCATGTGAATTAACTCATGAATGTAAATTGACATGGCATACATTTTGAATTTCTGAGTCTCTTGTCTTGTTTTCTTAATTAAACCTGCAACAGACTAAATTGTCACAAAGTGATGCATATAAATATGTTTGAAAGGAAGTTATAAAGTGCACTTTTCTTGCATTTTATCTATATAAATACATTTATATGTGAACATTCTGCATTTGCTGGAATGACAATAATAATTGGGAGTATCATGGCACAAACATTAGTTAGCCAGTGAGAGCGTAGGCTTCCGCGGCCGGAGTCAGTATTTACTAGGCTGTCCGGGTGACGCCGCGTACATGGCGAAGGTGCCGACGTTTCGGTCGCAACCGAAAAGTCGGCACCTTCGCCATGGACGCGGCGTCACTCGGACAGCCTAGTAAATATTAGTTAGCCCGTGTTTGAGAAGTGATAATTACTTGTATGTGTTAATCACCATGAATGTCCCTCAATTTAATTTGGAATCAGTGTTAAAAAAATGTCATGACTGAACAGACAATAATGAAAACATTTTGTTAATAATTAAAAGCAATTGAATATCTAATAGGAAATATTATGTAATTCTGAGTGTTTGATGTGATATTGTGTGTTATTGAGCAACTTGCTGTGCTTTTGGACAATTAATATATTGTCGGAATGCAAATTAACAAGTTTAAAAAGTATTTTGGGATAAATCAATTTGAAGTAGATTCTGTTAAATCTACTCAATATCTTTTCCTACATAGGGCATAACATTTCTTCTAACACATAAGATGGATTTTTTCCTGAATATCCAAGCTGCAGGACTCCAATACTTCATTGATCAAATAGAAGAAATCTGCCTTCGCAATGTAAATAAAGTTATAGTTTCACTTGTATACACATATAATGTACTATATGTACTATACTAATGTACATATAATATGTACCAAATTAAAGGCGTTTGTTTCTCATATAAAAGTCTTCGTAACTGTTTGTCTTGTAAACTATATACATAGCTCTTTGTACAATAGTTTGGGATTGTTACCATGAAATTTACAGTATTTTCTAAACATACTTCTTCACAACTGCTAAATGACGATTTTAAGAATTATGTTATGAATGATATAATTTTAATAGTTATTTTTTTCAAAGAACAGGTTGCCCTGGCCAGGATTCGAACCTGGGCCTTCTGGTTTATGCCCAGATCCTGTGACCACTAAGGCACCGAGACAACCAATACTTGGAACAGTTTTCATGTAATACACACACACACACACACACACACACACACACACACACACACACACAAAGCGGTACTGTTCACGACATTAATTTTGAAGGGACAGGTGTTTTTGCTCGTGAATGGGCCTCTATAGGGTTTGGCATAAGCATTGAAACAAATCTATTATCAATTTTCAAACAAATAAACGGTGTATTGCTTAGATAACACAAATAAGAATAATATTTACAATTAACTGATTCTTCGTTTTGGTTCCAAAACATGCAAATGAACTCAAATTTACGCGATACCTTAATCTTCAAGAATCGCTTGTTCCTTGATGTTCCCCCCGGCGTCGGCAGCCTTCGGCACGCCTCGGAGCCCGTCGGATGGTCAGCCTCCTCTCGGAGGCCTGCCCAGTGACCCAGAGAGTATATATCAGAGACGGCAGTCAATGTTAAAAGGAAAGCCATTATTTTCGTGGAGGGGAGAAATTCGAATCTCCCACCCCAACAGAAACAGCGAATGAGAAAGAGGCAG